AATTTTTAGGGCCCATATTGCATATGAAATGTAGAAGAAGCTAAAATACATTAAAAAATTTCTTTTTTTATTTGGGAAGCAATCAAAAAGATAGTCAATTTTAGCTTTTTTTATTTGGTGTCAATTTTATTTTGTGTCATTGTCAATTTAGTGTTGTACGTGGCAGAACTAGTGAAAAAAAAAATTTCTTTTTAAAGCAAATATCCAATTTCAAAATATTTGTGAAAGGATACATTGAAAAACGTCTATCTTATACTTTGTAACACTTCGTAGTGATTCCGAGTGTATATCATGTATTTTCTTAAGATGTATTTATATTGAGAAAACAACATAGATTGTCGCATTTTACACTATTCATATGATTGCTAAGATAAATTTTTTTATTTTTTTTATTTTTTAAAATTTTTTTTCTTTGATCTAAATTTTAATCTGAATGCACTAAATAAAATTTTCAAAATGAAAATAAGTCAAATGGAAGAACCGCAGATTTAAATGAGATATATCTGCAAGATACACACATAATTAGGTGTGGTATAGCGATAAGAGTATTAGCTTATTTATGATGCAACCTCAAGAGATACAAATTACGTACTGTAACGTATTTTCTTAACTCGACACCGATGGCGAAAAATCCAAGAAGCAATCTACGTTACCTTCAGCCGTCCATTTTTCGCTTATGCACCCGCAAGTCAGGCAGGCGCCAGCCAATTCTTTTGTCACCGGGAACTGACAAAAGCCGGTATGACCTGGGAGTTGGGGTGGAATAGGCCCAACTCCGCCAAAACGAGAGCTCTGACGGAACCTATCAGAAAAGACGATAACTTGACGCGTAAAATCGACAAACGCAACTGGATGCACAAACGGGAGCGGACGGTTACGGAAATGCAGTGAGGTACAGACGGCCGGAGTAAGCGGCAGGCAAATAGTGCGAGATACAGAGAGTAACTGATCGAGAACGTAACAACACGAATCTGAACCATCAAATCGAATACCCTTCACCAATTAATAAATTGGGAGTCCCCACTGAAGCTAGTGCAGCTAATTCGTAAAAGCCGAGAACTGTATCCAGAGGACACTCAAGCGGGCACTGCACTGGGGCACAGCACTACAGCTCCGGAACACTCACAGAAAATCCATAGAATTTCCTGGATATCGCGAGAGCAACGCGAGAACTACGCAGGCGAGAACCTTCTATGCCGTATCGAAACTCAGCTAGAAAAAGTATTAACAGATAGCACGAGAGCACGAGCCAATTCGTGACACCTCGATCGGTGCCCCGAGACAGACTGCTTAGACAATAGCCAAATTCGAGAACTAATCATTCTGATTGGTCGAGATCCTTATAGCCGATAACTCTTGCTTTCCCTTGAGTCGTCCCTTTAAACCAAGTCGAGAGCGTTTCTTAGTGAATCGGTACATAACACCGGAAGATCTTCCACGGCCGCTTCCCCAAAGTATCGGGTGACAGCTGGGCACCAGTACCGCAACTCGGGCAAGGGGTTCCCCCCCCCCGCCCTTAACTGTATCAAAACCTTACCTCCGCCCGCTCTAGAGCCCTTTTCCTCTCTCCAGCGGGGCGCCGGTATTTCACCCGGGCTTCTGCAGGTACGTGGAGACGTCTCCATTGGGTACTCTCCTCTGCGGGACAACTCGCTACGTCGAGACCATCTCCCCACGGCAGTAACTGTACGAATTAACCCGCGAGCGTAACTTCTGAGCAGGGTGGCGACCCGAAGGGAACCAGAAAGCGAGAACGTTATCTGAATCGGTAGCCGGAGTCGCCTTGTGACCGTCAATCGAAAAATCACGTCACAGTACACAATCTTAAGCATACAGGATTATTTAAGAACATTGCACTAATTTCAGTAAGTCCATCCATTAGGCTTCAATGGTAGAACTACCTTCAGTTCGTATATTACTTATAAAAAACATTGCAAAGAAACAGAAAATCATAGTGGATTATTGAAAGCTGCTGATTCTCTAGAGAAATCTATGCTTGGAGAATTTACGTACATAACCTCAAATTACAGATATCGAACGGAGGAGATAATTTATTGTTTCTTGAATACAATTCCACGAACTGTGACCCAAAAAAATGTTCCCTAGGTCTCGAGTTTTATTAAAATTTACTCTAATTCTTCTTGCCCTTCGAATTTTTCAATTGGGTAAATATTGCAAATAAATTGATGGATGTTTTCCTGGGCATAATGAAAAATACACAGACAGCAATATAATAATTTCCACGGAGAAAGAGAAAGCGAGAGAAAACTTTTGGGTAAAGCTTTTCACTTAATATTTAACCAATTTCAAGAAAATCTTATACAATAAAAATTTGAAAGCAGCAATCTAATGGATTCGAGATTTAATATTCCTATGAAAATCATAAATAAGATCAAACAATGTAACTATTAAAGACGAATACACCCTACGATATTTTATGAATGAACAAAACAAGGAATAATGACTTTCGTAAAGCAAGACTAACTAGATATATCGCGATAAGGTCAAAGCGTGTCATATTGGTCTGATAGCCATTCAATTCGGTATTCAATAAATTGCGATATTTTAGTACATAATAAATCAATGTTTTCTACGTTAGTACGGATTCCAATTACGAACTCATTTTACACGGAATAAAAATTAGAGGCGAAAGCTTTATGCTGGTGTAATTAGTCGATTGAATGGTATGGTAGGGGCGAAATGAAAAGGAATAAGAATGAAAATAAGGAGAAAGAGGTAATAAGGAAAGGTGTAACGAAGAAAAGAGGGAAGATGCTAAAAAGAAAAAAATATTATACAACTGTCACGATTTTCTTTTAGGATAGGCAACATTTTCATAATATAGTGTCGCAGTGTTAGATGCCAAAAAATTATGCTTAATGAACATTTTCAATTCGCTTATAATAATGGCCATTTATTTTATTACAAGACTTATTTACTCATTGCAACCTTTTTTCTTTCTTTCAGCACCCAAAGGCAAACCATCTATTATAATGGCGCACAATACCTCGGCCAACTCCATCCTCATCACCTGGGAGCCACCAAGCAAGGATACGATACGCGGTGAATTTCTTGGCTACAGAATTGCTTACAGGCAAAGCGGAAAGCAGAATGAAACTATGAAAGAAATTTATATACGTGATCCAGGAATTCGAGTGAGTACCACTGATGACCTTTATATACTTTTTATATATGGTATGACGATAAATTATATACACTCTATTACCATTACAGAGTCACAACATAAATAATCTGGAGACTTTCACGAAATACCATATATCACTTCAAGTATTCAATCCTGAGGGCCATGGACCTCCCATGACGGTTCTAGTAATGACGGATGAAGGAGGTAAGTTAAATCGTTGAGTTATGAAGTCAATAGACTGGACATCGTAAGGAATATAATGTTACGCGAGCCCGGGTGTTTTGAATACAAACCAATGGACTTTAACCATTGGAATGCTCTATATAGATATATATTCTACATATCAGAATCTCGAGGCACAGAACACGCGGTCATATCTAGTCTATTTATATTCAGTCAAAAATTAAATTTATTCAAATGGCAAATATTTTTTTTGCTAAAAAACAATCAAAAATATCACTCACGCGTTTACACGATAATTTAATCAAATGACTGTGGCGCTATCGTGAAGCTAGTCAAGTGTACACATGACGCCGTCGGTAATAGCTAAAGAAATCTACCTTATCATTTGGTAGCCGAACATAAAACAAACAGATTATGTACCGACAGAAATCTGCAGATATTTCTCGAGTAACCAACAGTTAATTAAAACACAGTGGTAAAAAAGTTTTCCTATGAATCAAAAATGTGCTGAGTAGATCGCTTCCAGAATGATATACCAAATATTAACTTCCGATGGAAACTCGACAATTTATTCGACGAATGATAAAGTTCAAGAGAAATGACGATTGTGATTGTGATATCCCAAGTTCTACTTTAACTTATAACTTTAATCAATCGTTATTGAACGGATAACGGGATACTTGATAAATCTGTAAATCCACTATAAAAGTAAGAATACGACAATTTAATTTTTAAACCATTTCCATTTACGATAACACGGGTTTTGTACCTTAATATCAAAAACTTTGTCCAGCATTAGTGCCTTCGATAGCCTTTAAGTCGATTACTACATTAAATAAAATAACATAACAATAAATATTAATAAATAATCTTATACAAAGTAGAACAATGCTTAAAATGTCAGGGAGCAGATTATTCCATAATAGTTTTGGATAAATCATAATCAATGTTTAGTTTAAAACTCTCCTGATAAGCTTATATTGTCTTGTATTATTGACATATTTCTAGTAAAAGCATTTACGTTACATACCGCCAAAGGCTTTAGCCTGGACGGATCGATTAAGTACAAACACTTTGGCTAGACTTCCATGGGACACCATATAGAGTCTTGACCATCAGTATAGAATTGCCGTGCACACCGCGTTGCAATATGTGCAGGTTCAATAAGGTCAAGTGTAAATTAAAATGAGAATCCAGAGAAGCTTTTCCAAATAAACCACACCCTACGTCAATACCGTAGCACATCTAGGGGTGTATGTTAACAACTAGCCTTGAGGGATACTCTATACATTCTGTGAAATTCATTGGCATTCTGCCCAGGGTTCATCGGGTTCCAAATACGTCCCTGACCTAGCCTGGGAACCTTCTAGCCGTCCCTATATAAAATCCTATTGCTATACTTCAAATGACTGTCGCCCAGCTTGTAACATATAAATCCCACTCTCCCACAAAAATAACACAGCCAAACCGCAAATTCCTCTATGTTAAACGATGCAATAATATAGTTACGAAAATACAAATATAAGAAACGAACATCTAAATGTAATAATTTCCCATTCTATGCGTGCGAAATCTAGTTTCAATAAACGGGGCCCAAATTTATTTCTGTACGCCCCTGAAACTAGGTACGTCCCTCTCCAGCCGACCTTACGAACCGTCATTGTTACTCGAGCGCTCCAGAGGCCAACGCTGTCGTCGAACCGTGGCCGGTCTTTCGATTACTCTCAAACAGCATAGAACATAATCTACCGATAGATCGATACGCATTAATTAAAATTCACATCCGCAGGGTGTTAACTAAATAGAAATAAACAGAGAAAACACATATAAAGCCGCGATTGACGCGATGAAAGCCGCATAGTGAAAAGGAACTGATCGAAAGGTTTTGCCAGTGCGTGCTTCTGCCGGCTTCGGGTTATTTCTCCGTTCCTCTCCTACTTACTTCAACACTCTTCCTTCTACAACTCACTCTAAGTACTCCAGAATCTCTCTCCCTCGGTCTCCCTCACTCTTCCTCTTTCTAATCTTCTTTCCATCTCTTTCTTTCACTCTCTCTCTGTCTCACTTCCTCAAGCGGTCGATTATTGGACGACAGCACGGACGGAACCCTAAAGACACCATCTTGATACGACACTGTGTGTACGCGCACGTTTCATGCAAATACCCCTGTACAACCCGGAGCGGCCTACCGAGCAACCTACCTTTCTTCGTGCATTACGCTCTGGGCGCTCGTGACTCGCGCTTCGATACTGTCACGCATACACAACGCGAGGTCGGTAATCATTTTTATTGTCAGTGAAACTGAGTGTTATCATTGATCATTGCCAAATTCACTGGAGTACAGTGGTAATTGTGAGCCATTGGAAGGCAGTACTGGATATACTGGAAGGCGTCAATTAGACGCGATTGAAAACAAAAAGGAAATAAGAAAAGTATGAAATTGCAATCGTGTGGTGTATGTCTTGTGTATTTTGTTTCTGTGTGAAGATTCACGTGACAACTGACAAGGACAATTGTCATTTCGTTCTTTTTAATTAAAGCATTCGGTACCATTTGATAAATATTCATTAGTGCACAGTGCAGATAACACTGCCTATATCGTCATGGACGATGGTAATAATGACAGCAACGATAACTACTCATCAAGCGGGAATAGTTCGTTGATCGCATCTTTGTTATGGTGCTAAATAATTCTATACCGGGATCCATTCACACAATACCTCTATCTAGGGGACGTGCTGCTTTGAAAAAAGGGGTTCGGCTGTTCAATTCCACCCTTTTGACACGACGCCATTTAACACGTCCCTGTGCAGACCTTACGAAATGAAATCGTTTACAGTATCAAGCCAGTCTTGCTATTTTATTAGCTGCTTCAGCGTTCCCTAGCAATCGGTATCAAACTGTCGAAATTAGGGAACATAGTTTTATCGACCTTTCCGAAAATCTAAAAAAAAAAGAAAATAACACGAACGACCGCTCCATTTATCGATTCCTTTCCCTACCTCAACGAGCTCTTAGACTCCTCGCAACGAGTCTCCTCGAGTCGAGTTTGCTGAGGGCGCTGCAATCGTTTTCTCTTTCTCCTTCCCATTCGTATATTTTACCAACTTGACTATCTTTTTTCATCTTGCTACTGTCAAAACAACTAAGAATGTTCGCCGATCTCGCCATGCGCTCCTGACTGTTCGCAGTATAAAGATTTAAATGAATTTATAGTGAACATTGAAAATAAACCAAGAGCGCTGGCTACGATTCCGACAAAGAGAAAGGCAGCAGCTGAGAATCAAAGAGAGGATCAATAAAAGAGATCGTGGAAGTGAATGATACAGAGGTGGGGAGCATAGCGATAAAACGTCGCTGAGGATCATCCATGTGATCAGGAAGAGAAAGAAGAAAAAGGGGAAAGTATAGTAACGATTCCAAAGATCAGAACATAAACGAAGCGAGAGAAAGAAAAAAATCTCTCAAAAATGGGTGAATTTATTAAGTAATTTACGTAGTGCGAGGGAGGTGGCAGAGGGGTGGTCAGACGATCACCGATTTTTATAAAGCGTTTCCGTGGCAACTGCCAGATCAGTGAGAAAACGCGGAGCAAAATGTCGCAAGCCAAGATGAGCTGCTGGGCTCATCTCGGCGCGACAGCGGCTCTCATTCTCATGTTGCTGCCGGTCAGCATGAACAGTGTCCACGCGCAACAAACGACCGACGAAACCATCACTGAAAATTCTACCAACAGCATCATCACCACAGAGCAGAACGACAACGACAATGACAACGATACGTACCGAGGTAAATAATTAGGGATTTCAACTAGCTCAACGAGCTTAATCCTCGACCCTTTTTAATACGTGCCGAGTGTGTGTCGCGCACGACGCGGGCATCATGACGCATGCGTTGCCGTCAGTCGGCGCACGTGCGTTTATACACAACGAGTAAATGTCCAAAACTGTGTAAACAAATTATTTTTTTGACAAATACGTCGTACTTTAATTACCATAAAATAAAAATTTTACTCCATTACAAAGCTTGAAACGACACATATATGTATATATATATATATCATCATACAAGTAGTATGTATAGGAAACTCGGAGACTGGTGTAAAAAGTAGGGCAATTGTATCCCCGGGTTTCACGGGGGATCGATCCGGTTTCAGCGCTTCAACTGACGGGTAACGATCCTGGTTTCGATGTCCTGGAAAAATCTTTTTAATATGATGCCAGGTCGTTGAACCCTTTTCATTTTTCTTTCTTTTTATTTTTTTTCTTTGTCCCCATTTACTCTTCTCTCAATCCGTTTTTTCATATACTACGTCTTACGTACGTATACGGATCCATCTCTACGTAATCCGTGCACATGTATGTATGTACATCTGGCCTGAAGAGGCTTTTATACGTATAGAAATCTAGAAAACAGCTGCCACTCCTGCGCGTTATTGCACATAGGTGGTGCCACATATTTATTGTGGAGAGATACAAATTAATAACAGCATGCTGCCTTTATTAATAAATCCTAATACTTCTACTTAACATTACACCTGTAACGATCTTAGTCTAACTGACAATTTTAAATTGAACATTTGCGATGCAACCGAAATTCTGCATCGCTAACATTAGTCAATCGTTTTTCTTGCATTTTGTATCTTTGAATCATGCCACACCCTTTCGATCTATGTAATGTAGTGCATTGTTCATTGTCATTTGCATCCACCACGGTTCATCGCAACTCATACTAATTTTGTGCACTGAACGTGCTATGGAAAAGACATTGGAATGTAAATACAATATTACATCAGTAGATACAGTGCCCAAACTATTTAGCGATCAATATATGTATATCAGACTGGCGGATTTCCAATGAACGAAAAAAAGAACATCCTACAAGATTGAAAACTACTGGTACTGCTAATAGACTATGAAAATTGTCTTCGTTATCTTTGTACGTTTATCATAAATCCTGTTGAGCGATTGAACCGTTATCATGAACATTATCACCATCAATATAAACATCTAATGAACAATGTCAACATGAAGCAAATGTATGTCTCATTCGGTATTTTGTTCGTATGGCAAATAAGCTTTTGTAGTCTAGCATACGTCCAATCAAATTATACAGGGTGACGAGACTAACAAAGAGTGAATAGGTGTGACAATTGATAAGAGAAATGATAGAGACACAACAAAGACGAGATAAAACGGAGATTCTCGGATACTCTAATTCAATAAAAAAATAACGTACAATGTGTAAAAATAATTAATCCAAACTGACACTAAATCTAAATTCAAAAAAAGTATCTGGATCATATTTATCCTCTTCAAATATCTTAACAATTGGATGACTTAAACCCTGGCTTCAAATAGATAATATCTCGAAAATTGATTATTAAATTGGTATGTAATTGCCAAATTAATGTACTTGGCTGATCTGTAAGTTTATCATCTCAACGTCATCGTATAAAGCACGTATTGACAATTGTATATATCTAGATTAGTGACACGTGTCGAGGACATTCATTTGATAAATCAATTTTTACAGACTGCCTAACGTAATATTTTCCTCCCTACTTTTAATTGGTCAATTAATAATCAGTAAATTGATAATTCTATCGAATGCTATAACAAAGAGAAATAAAGAAAATTTCTTTCAGTCTTATTTAGCCAGATAAACGTGTCTTGTCTTGTAACGAATATAATATGTGCACTGTGGTATGCAGTGTTCCTCTTCTAAAAATATTATCTTTGTTGCTTTGTGGTTACCAAGAATCTATGATTTCCGGCTATGTAACGGAGTTGGAAACCCCTATTAAATATGTACAGTATGCGTGTGGGATTTTTGGGTTCACGCATACAGCATGGGGAAAATCTAAAATTAGAAAAAAAGATGGAGAGTTTTCGGTGTAAAATAAACATACAGTTCAAACGACACGCGCGATACTTCCCAGGCAGTAATACAATTTCAAGACTATAATACACGTTTTCAGTATATTCCTTGTAAAATGATATTGATAACGATTCGCGGCAATCTAATTGTCATATGAGGAAAATCAGTAATAAGAAAAAAAATGTTTTTTTTTTACCTATTCATCGACGAGTACTTAACTTTTATATGCAATTGACAGAATCCTACTTTTATTAATAATACATACCAATAAAGTTATACAATGAAAATTAAAATCGATTCCCTTTAAGGCCAAATTAATTTTACTTTTAAAACGCTTAAATTTTCGGTAAATAAAATTCAATGCTATATACCTTGCTAGCATTAAAGTTGCAAAGCATTAAAATAGTAAATAATTTTTCCGTTAACAAATGTCACGTGACTTTTTTCAATTTTTTAACTTGGGCCCTCGCTTCGGAGATAAATGCCACCTCAGTACCGTTAGAAAGCAATTGCATAGATACATTAAGCCCCAGTCAAAGGTAATCCCGTGTTGTATAGGAAGAGCAAGAGAAGGTGGACGAAACGGTGCAGCAGCATCGTAATGCACTATACTATAATATACTACAGTACAACACCCACAATATGGTACAGTAAGTGAAGCACGTGATTAGAGTAGAACCAAGGAAGAATCGCATCTCGGGTCTCCACTCGTGCATGGGACAGATCCGTCAGTACCGATTCACTTTCCGATCTGGATCAAAGAGAAGATTAGGGTTATTAGAGCGATTCACGTGCCGATAAGACCCATACCTAAGGGGACTCAACACTCATTATTCATTATCCCGTGCACGTACCTAGTATCAGCCACTCGTGGGATAAACGTCACGTTTAACGTTTAACGACTGTCCCGTTATTTCGAATTGGCATTTCTGTGCCCTCGTCAGCCAGTCCTCCTACAGGATATCTGTAATCATGGCGTTACCGTGGTGGATTCTGACGTGGCGAGGGTTGATTGAAATTATTGGACGGATGGGAGAGAGACTAGGTACATGGTATACTTGCTACTTGGGATATTCGATAGAACGTTCTTTTTACGTTTCATCATGACGATAATTACACAATACCATTGGATTTTCAAATTCGACTGTTTCTTCAAATTGGCATATACCTGTATACCAGGTTCCTTGGTTTACGCAGGTAAACCGGTTATGAGAAAGTTTACTGGTCGAGTTAGCCGAAGTTAATTTATTGAATGGAGTTGCGCGAGCAGCTAACGTGCCCCCCTTTCCCTTCCCCTTGCGTAAATAGGTCAATTACAGGGTGTCGAGTCACCAACCCTCTAAGAAATCTAAGGGGGTTATAAGCTGGGGTCAATTTCCTTGGGGGGCGGGGGGGGGGGAAGGGGCCCCCCTTTCCCTTCCCCTTGCGTAAATAGGTCAATTACAGGGTGTCGAGTCACCAACCCTCTAAGAAATCTAAGGGGGTTATAAGCTGGGGTCAATTTCCTTGGGGGGGGGGGGGGGGGGAAGGGGTCAGAAAACAGAAAGGACCTGAACCCTGATTATCATCTATAGAAGAGTACTTTAGGCATTTTTACCATTCCGTAGGATCTTAGTCATCAGTACTGAAATGATGTTAGGGTCGTTAACTGACAATGAAATATTTAAAGGGGGGTCATGGTTATTCTTTCATGCTTACATTAATGGATTACCCTTAAAATATTTTTTTTCTCTTTCTCTCTTCGGCGTACCTGAGTCACAGTTCAATTCATGAAGACTCCCAGGCGCTAGTAACCATTTCGCTTTAACTATTTATATTATTCTTTTTTTCTTTAATTTCTATCTCCGTATTCCTCTCTGGTATACAATTACATCCTAGTGTCGACTCTATTTAAGTTCCGCGCCACGCCCGTGACACAATGCCGTGACAATAATCTTACGGAAATTCGATGGTCACAACATGCGCGAGTCTCTGAGAAATTACGACAACGGCCAGAAATAAATTCTTCTTATCTATATCTTGTATTTCTTTTGCAACAAGAGAATCATAAACGTCGCATCTCTACAAAACAAAATTGACAAACGATCGTCTCTTGAGAATCGAGTAAATTTCAAAAAAAAAAACATCAAGCACTTCAGGAATATATTAATAAAATGAGTAAATTAACCTTCTTAACAGAGAAGCAGAAGCACGATAATAATAGAATATAAAAGAATAATGATAACTTGCAACGTATACAAGAATATAAAACATTTCAAAGACCTCTCGAAGTCTTGCAAATAGGCAAAATCAAACTACGAGGACTGGTTCCTTTGTTCTTTTTATCTTTAATATTTTATCACTATCAACCGAAATGCTGAGTTACGCATTCGCACAATGTTACACGTGTTCGGCTCGATAAAATGTTACAGTAACTATATACTCGTAGAATAAAATATGAAAAAGCACTTTAGGATGCGTCATGAGTATACCAGTAACTATAGTTATATACATATAGCTAACGACGATAGACCGTTTATTGTCCTCACTCACAATGCCTACTACTACTGCTACTACTGCACTACTACCTACACAGATATACAGATATACAATACCATAAATGTGATATTGGGCGGTGAGAAGACTTGCGAGAACGAACAAAGCAAAGAGCTTTGCTCGGACAGAGTGGAAAAACTACTTAGCGCCAGAACAACAGACAAGTTGAAATAGTAGACGTACTGGCAATGGTACTAGGTAGTTGTAAAGAAGATGCACAAACTCAGAGGTAGGTTTAGAGAATTAGGCGTTGCCCGTATACATTTGTACATGCTTATATTTCATATTACTTATATCTATATGAAATATATATAGATATATATGTATATGCATTTTAATTGCGAGAAATACAGAGGGCGATACCGATGCATGAACACAGGAATAAAGAAATACCCTTTACATTAAAGACGTTCTATTTCTATCGCGTGCCGCCCCGTACGTTTAACTCTGTCATTTTGGTTCGGTATTCTCCAACCCGTTAGCCAAAAGAAAGCCTAAGACTGATCGAATGTCTTTATGGGGTTACTCCAGTTACTTTTCATTTTCATAATGAAATGTTATAAAGCTTTTTCCTTGCGACGGATTTTTGTGGGATAACAAAGTCTTGCTACTCGTTCGTCGTGATTAATAAAAATGTATAGGTGCAACTAGATGACTATATGTATATCTTGTGCGTTCCATATTATTTCATAAGAATTCTCAGTGAATCCTTGAACCTTCCTGAATGATGAAGTTGCGACGGCTACTAGTTAACCTTGAGTGACGTGTTCATGGAAAAAAAAAAAAGTGGAAAATATCACGCGGACTATCTAAAACAATTTGTGCGCAATAGCACGCATATATTTATTTAAAAAAAATGAACAATAATATCTTCGAGATGATACAGGATTTTCCGCAAGGTAACTCAGGAATCAATTAATTGCTCACGATGCATGGACATTTGTATCAAGAAAAATCGTATTTTTTCTGGATATTACGTCATTTTTACTCACGATACAAGCAAAGAATTTGTAAGTCGACTTTTCGCTCGGACCTTTGATATGGGAAAATAAATACAATCAATCTCGAAGTTTCGTCAATGTTTCACAATAAAATGAGCTATTTGTTTTCGAGGAATACTTCCTAAATTCATAGAGAGAAAATACTTGTCTGGAAAGTTTAATGACCAGCGAGTTAAGCCGATGCTCTGTGTCAGTAGGAATCATTGAAGGTAAAGGTCGATAAAGTAAATCGAGCATAATGAGCAATTAGCAGTGCGTTAAATTACTCATTAACAAAGCCTTACAGTCGCACCTTTGGGCTAAATAATTAACTCTTATTCCGTATTACTATTTTGTGCACCCTTAAACCGTACAGATAGGTCATTAAGGTCCGACGTGTTTTTTCAAGGGGTAAAAGTATTTAACATTTTTTTTTCAATTTATACTCTTTCTTTGATCTTTTTAAATTAAATTAGAATAATAGATTTAATAAAATTTAGATAAGGATACCGCGAACCTCCGATCTTTAATTTTCGAATAATCGTTACCGTTAGAAACTGTATTGACAAAAATAATCATTCGGTACGGAGCGAGTGTTAAAAATCGTTTGTATAAAGAATTGATTTTGGAATTCGTCTACGGAAAGGATCTTAAAATTATTAACGCTTTCTCCGGATGAAAAGTATTTTGAGACCGAGTTTTAAATAGTCAAATCGTATAGTACAAATGTTTGCTTCATTCGAGAGAACCGTTACGGCACTGCAGAAACTTAAAGCACTTTCTCCAAAGTGAAGAATTACTATTTTTCCCATTATAGGCAATGCTCTATTTTAGTATCGATCGACGACGTTAGCAGCCGTGAATTCATCTCAACTCGTAAAACTCGATTGGCCAATATATTACATTAATTCTCGTGATGCATGGAGTCGCGTTCGCGTCTTACAAATGCAGGATTCCACCCACGTGTCCACATTGCGTCTAATGAGATTTTCAAACAAGGCGTGACATACTCCGTGGTGCGCGTGATTTCATTTACACATACGCACAGGTATAGCTGCGTTACGCAATAAGGAACGTTACGCGATTCCTGATCGAGTCTGTCGCGTTCCATTTCCTTTCCATTCGACACAGGGCAAACTAGAAATATCAAGTTTCTCTACATCCTTGTACACAATTAGAAAAATATATATTCTACAGTAAACTTGTGCATATGGTTCAAAAAATTGTCTATCCTTCCAGCGATACAATAACATACGGTCTTTTGCCAATGCTAAATCAAACGATGCGTCACGTCGTAGCTACAAATTATATCAGACCTTTATGAAGGATAATACGTGACCATTATGGCAATGAGAAGAAGAGCAGGCGCCATTTCGCTTTTTTAAATAGCAAAATTGTTCTCTTCTTTGGAAGTCCTTCCTTGTAAAAACCTTTTATGTTTTGAAATTACATTGCGAACAAGGACTGGCCCGGAGAAAACTCATGAGAATACATAAAAGGTGTATCCGAAAGAGTTTCAAAACAATTTTATAGGTTGTAACTTAGAAGAGCATATTATTTTTTTTTTTTTTGATAATCATAATAATCCTCTAAAGGTTCAGAAAGGTTATACTAAACATGAATATACTCTGAAACAATTCGTATTGTAACTCACTTCGAGTCAGAGTGGACCTATGTAACGCAAGAAAAAAAAGCCAGACTCATTAGGATGCACCTGCTGCCTCTCCTGTCAATGATGCCGACGTCCACGTGAAATAGACTGGTGGGATCGCACAGTCTTCCTTGTGCTCTTAACGGTTTGGATCCTGGTTTAATGGTGTAGACCATTAGAAGGAACCTGAAGACTTGGCCAGACTAGCACAAGAATAATACATATTTTTACAGATATTGTATTACCAAACTACGAAAAATTTAATAAGGTAAACCAATAAATCAATGAATTGAGAATGAAGAATGTAAAACGAGAAAATACATATTTTTAATTAAATAATTTGCCAGTCTCCACTTTGCAATTCTTCATATCAATGATAAAGATCATCGTGCATTTGCATTAAATAATTACACAATTGACAATTAATGCTTGCGATGCAACGGAACATTTCCGGCCTGTTGTAAATAACCACGATATTTCGAAAACGATGATTGCACCGATAGGCTAAAGTAATTCGCAATATCCTGCGGTCGTTTCATTGTTACCCATTAAACTGTTTGGCGAACAATATTTGCTTAGGCGCAACTTTTGAATCGTTATTAAAAGAAAGAAAGCGCGTTGGGGAACGAAGAAGAAAGATACCTGTGTCGAGCGTTTTTTCTTTGACGCAGTATGGATGAAGCTGCGTCGTCGAGCAGCTTTAAGTCTGAGGACGCGCGGGGCTGTGCTATTCCGAGCTTTTTGTCACTGGAGGAGTCTGCGGTGTCACTTGAGAGAGGATATTAAGTATTCACACTTTGACCTCACCTCCACTTTTCTACTCGCCAGAAGCTTCTACCTCCAATCCTTAGCGACGCTATTATACACGGAAATCTCTACCTGCGTCAGAGCTTGCGAAGACTCCGCCCTCTACGTATAACCACGAAAGATCATCCTCGAGAAAATCTCCTTGTAGTTTTCACGTCTCAAGTTGCTTGAGAGGTTGTGCTTCTGGTAGATAAGAGAAAAAAGACAAAAAATTCAACTCGAAAACTCCCGCCTAACGATGTATTTCTATGCGATAATTTTCGAACTCTAAGATCTCTTAACAGTGTATTTACCCTCCAAAAAAATTATCTTTTTTACATAATTTTGTGGCCACGTTTTTTAAAGGTGTTTTAAGCCTGATTGCATCAGGAAATATTGACAATTTTAGAAGTTACAGTTTCAAACGTTGACATGAGTTTGCGAGTACTTGTGCTCAAACTTGAAGCCCTCTTTTACCAATCTTTTTGACCAGTTTTTTTGACAAGTTAATTTCGATGGCTTACCGGGAAACTGCAGTCATGCGAAAGATAATGCATATCTTACATTTTTTATCTGACTACTGGTTCCGCGATATGCATGTCATCCGTTTGTCTCCGTCGAAAAAAATGGACCTTCACTCAATAGGCTTGGTCTCCGTAATTTTTCAATATGTTTGTCTAATTTTTTATTTACATGCAATGTATAAGATGTAAAAATATTTCTGTAATTTTAGTAAAATCTCTTAGTTTATTCGCGATCCCTTAAAAAAGAATTTTATTACCCTCGTAAGTTTTCATGAATTTATGGCAGCTTATTGCGACGCGAAATTTTAATCTATAACTTTTTCATAACGTTTTCTAATGTTTAATCTACTTTCTTGTTATTGGATTGATTGCAGTACCGACCAAACCTCTGAATCTCACGGTTCACGGTGTCACCTCCTCCACCATCGAATTGTCATGGTTGAAGCCCGAGAAAGTCAACGGCGAGATACATGGTTACAGAGTCTACTACATGCATTCCAATTATACCGACGTTAAAACGCACAAGATCTACGAACCGGGCACACCCTTCATTAGATTCAGTCTAAGTGATCTGAGTGAGTATAACATAGAGTTCAATGAGTTTAATAGCAGAGAATCATTGATGGTGAAAAAAATGCATGAAATTTGTATAACATTAATTTTATACGGATCTAATACCTATTATTTATTTTCTTCTAGAACCCTTCCAGGAATACAATATATGGGTGAAAGCTTTCACTTGGAAGAACGAAGGTGAACCATCGGATCACATTATTCATAAGACTGATGTAGCCGGTCCGAGCGCACCCACCATTTTGAATCTTACCTGCCAGTCGCAGAATGCAATTTATTTAAAATGGGCACGTCCTGGCGTTTTCTGGAATACCATCGATTATTATTATATCAATTATCGAAGCGAAAGTTCCAACGAATATAAAAATGTCGAAATAACAACCGACAAAAGGCAGCTCGAGATTGAAGTGAGTACTTAAAGTAGATATAAAACAAGTGAAGATCTGAGTAATTTGGTGAAAAATGTCGACATTCTTTATAATTTCTTTGTTCGATTTACAGATACCTATAGAGAATCTCACCATGAACACCATGTATGAAATCACTTTACAAGCTGCTACGAGGAGTACAATCGATAGCAGCCTAATTATTCAGGGTGAGCCTACTGTGCCCCGAAAAGTACTTGTGGCACCAAATTGCGACAAGATTCCACCGTTAATGCGAAGAAGCAGCAAAGAATTCAGTGCTGGTGTAATAGCCGGTATGGTGTGCGCGTGCTTTGCAGTAATGCTGGCTATAGCATCCTTCGTATTATGGAGGTGAGATTTGGCAGTAAAGATTTGACAGAGAAAATAAAGAAACAAACCAAAAAATCCCAATTGAAAGTGTTTCATAAGCGATTACATACGTAAGACGTAATATTTACAATCGCGAATGTTATGTACACAACCTGAAAATCTTAATTTGACTAATGTTATTGAAGACGACAACAATATAAAACATATGGCCAGCAGACAACTACGAACGTGTATAGTACGATATTCCTTAACCGGGGCCTTCTCTTATCACGCCTCGTTATCGGCGTGATAACACAGAATAATATTTTATATACTTGACTCGTCGCTTAGTCGTGGAGGAGATTCGTTTCTAGTTCATGCTACGCACGACGTCTCAAACGGCACATGTGTACCGTGGAAATAATCAGTCATGAATTTTGACAATGATTTTCGATTAGAATCGCATGGTGTCTTTGGGGTAGTGCAACGTTACTTACCGTAAGAGAATTTTATGAGTTAGGTGTGTTGTGACTATCCCGATAATGAAAACTGGGGGATCTATCTAATAATCAGTGTCAAATCCGCAATGTAATTAGTAAATCCATTTGCTCATTTATTGAGAAATGGCTATTAGCTATTCCGTATACGCAGTTCGTTTTTTTCTTTCTATTGTTACCGTTAAATACACTGGCCACTTGTTAGTTTTAGAGTTATCAATAGCCATTTAGTTTAATCTTGAATGTATATCCATTATGTGTACTTATAAGGCCGTGCTTCAGGCCCATTTTCAGAAAGTGCTTCCACACCGCTTACTACTATCTGGATTATCCGCCGCGCAATGTACCAACCTTGCAGGATTGGGAAAACAGTGAACAGGATGGTGAGAGAACAGCTGTGGCTGTGCAGCATTTCGCACAACATGTTGCGGCATTGCATGCCGACGGGGACATAGGCTTCTCCAAGGAATACGAACTAATCCAGTCTGAAACTGGTGATTATACAGTTGAAAACTCGGAGTCCGCTGAAAACAAGTTGAAGAATCGCTATCAAAATATACTTGCTTGTGAGTAAATGAAACTGAAATCCAAAATCCAGATAATCAGACACATTTCTTGTTTCATTATATGGATGTCTCTATCTTTTGTTTGCAACTTAATATTATTACCAGACTTAGCGTTGGTCTTATGTGACTTTTGTAATTTAGAACAAAAATCGTTTTACTTATGTGCAACTGCTTCACTCGTAGGTGTAATGTCTTTACTTTTTTTTTACATAAAGATGTCACATTGATTTCTGAGAAACATGTAACTAAAGTCGAGTAATTTTAGTGTTTTGTCATTGACTGTCTGTCAATAACACTTGTGATGAATCAGCGTGCATCATCTTGCCCGTTCTGAACAGCGTACAATAATACATAAAAAACATTAGTAAATATGTATACTACACACTGACGGTTAACGTTAATATGTAATTTACAGTCAAGTGCGAGTCACCTTGCATTCATAATGTCGCTCATAGAAATTCAAGGACGAATTCGTAATTTTCAAATTTTCCATCATAGCTCTGTTTAGTCACTTCTACCCCCCTTCTTTATATGAAAAGTTTTACAAAAAAAGGATTTCCTTCATTTGATTAATCTTCGTCGCATTAAAGAAAATAAAACTGTTACATAATCTTACATAGTCACGCCTAAGAAGTTTCTGCCATGCTAAAAATTATAAGTGAGAATAATATATTCTTAGTAACGTTGTGTTTTAGAATTGTATGTAGTTAATATCTGACATCTGCACTGGCGATATGATTATAAAACTAATTTATTATTTGTCAGACGATCACACGAGGGTACAACTTTTATCATGTGGAGGAGGTCCACCTAAAAAAGGTCAGGATTACGTAAACGCAAATTATATCGATGGTTGGCAAAGAGCCAGAGCTTACATTGGGACTCAAGGACCCCTGCCACCAACATTCGACGGTTTCTGGCGAATGGTTTGGGAGCAACGTGTTTCCATAATTGTCATGATAACTAATTTGGTCGAACGCGGTCGTGTAAGTTCAGATGAAGTATTCTTATTCATAATGAACATACAAGATTGATTCTCAAGTGAAATGATTTAAATAAGTATTTGAGTTTTATTTTAATATTTTTAGAAAAAATGCGACATGTACTGGCCAAAGGAAGGGACCGAAACCTATGGTCACATTCAAGTAACTTTAATGAGGGAGGATATAATGGCCACTTATACCGTACGAACTTTGCACATCCGCCATCTAAAGGTATTTATCTAAATAAGAAAGAATGTCGCGTTAGAAATGGATGATCGACTTCAAGAATAAGAAATAATAAATTAATCTCTCTGAGAACGACTTAAAGATAATGTTACAATTTCAAGCAGATCAAGAAGAAGAAAAATGGCACTAACATGGGAGAGCGTACAGTATTACAATATCATTATACGAGTTGGCCAGATCATGGTGTGCCAGATCATCCACTTCCAGTTCTGAGTTTCATTCGAAAATCATCAAACGCTAATGGACCGGATGCTGGACCGATAATAGTTCACTGCAGGTGGGATATTTTAAGATTGATATATTCACATCAGTTGACCTCGAGTATAAATAATACCCAATAGAATTAATTATCTTATCAATGGAATCTTATAAATGGAATCGTTTCGGTGATACCGTCGGGAATTGATTGAACTGCTGTAATGGAATTTGAATCTTCTTAGTTGACTGGATCGATTCATTTTCTTTGACAGTGCTGGCGTCGGACGTACTGGAACTTATATAGCGATTGACGCCATGCTAAAGCAAGCCAAAAGTAAAGGCGAGATCAATGTTTTCGGCTTTCTAAAACACATTCGTACGCAGAGGAATTTTTTGGTGCAAACTGAGGAACAGTACATATTCATTCATGATGCTCTGCAAGAAGCTATTGAAAGTGGAGAGACTAATATCGAGTCCAGCCGTTTGATGCAGCATATTCAGGATATGTTATGCCCATCTAACAACAAGACTGATCCTTGGAATAATCTCGAGGCCCAGTATAAGGTAAATACATTTTTTTTTATTTCTAAGCAGAAAAATGAAGTATTAATTACTATAACGACATTGCGGTTGATCCTCCTGTTTCTCAAAATAGCTTGTCACTTCCTGGAAACCTAAAGACTTTCACTTGGTATCTTCCACGAAACCTTGTAATGTCGCAAAGAATCGCAATATAGAAATAGTGCCAATTGAAAATGCTAGAGTGCATCTTACGCCAAAGCCTGGCATCGATGGCAGCGACTACATAAATGCTACATGGTTTTCCGGTATGTTTTTTCCTGTGTTTCAATCTATAATATACAATCGTAGCCATGATAAACATTTTAATAATATAATGCAATGATACATATTTTTACTTTGTCTATCAAGGATTTCAACGTAACAGAGAATTCATTCTTACTCAACATCCAATGGAGAATACTATAATGGAATTCTGGCAGATGATGTGGGATCATAATGCCCAAACGATAGTCATGCTAACCCAATGCGATAAAGTAAGTCCCATAGAAATTGTATACAATGACAAGTAGTTTGATACATGGAATAATGTCAATAAATAGGAAATTACATTATTTCAGGAGTATCCAGAATTTTGGCCCACCGAGGGAAAGGATTTAGAGTCGGATACGTTCCGCGTTCGTTTGTGCGGAGTCAAGGAAACCGTAAGCGGAATTGTTCTCCGCGAAGTAGCAGTCAGATCTCTGCAAGATGATTATGAGCTCAGTGCCAGAATTGTGCAGGGACCATTGAATCAGGAAAGACCCTGGCCACACAATAACAATCCAAAAGTATTTGTCAACGTGATACAGGACTTCCATAGAGACTATCAAAATGGTCCAATAGTCGTAATGGATAGGTAGGCTTTATATTCGAGAAACCAATCGACAAAATTCTAGACAATGAAATTAAAAACTGTTAAAACCTTTTACAGGTTCGGCGGAATAGAAGCAGGTCTATTCGTTCTTTTAACAACATTGAATAAACAATTGGAATTCGAGCAAAGTGTAGATATATATATGTTCGCTAAATTATTATATATGAAGAGGCCTGGCATATTTCGATCAAAGGTATGTCATTAATAAAGCCATATCAGTAATTCATAGAGTAGGAGAATAAATCCAGTAATAACATCTGAACCATTAATGAACTATTCATAATAAATTACTGAATTACAGGAGGACTATATACTCGTATATCAATGTCTGGAATCGCTGCTGTCACCTAAAACACGAACGGAACCAGATTTGTACTCAATGACTAACGGTCACGTGAACACCATGAACGAGACGAATTCGATTCAAACAACAGAACAAGTACCAATGGATTTCGCGATAAAATCTCCAGGAATGAGGGAATATGCAACAGTAGAATTGGGTACCGATTACGAGCCTGACTATTCAATGACCGTCCATCTGGATAGGACTGGTGCCACCACTACAGGAAATCGCATAACAAGAACTGAACACATGCTGCCATCTGGTGGCGTTAATCCGATACGCAATACCGGTTATCCGATTCACGCCGGTAGTCATGTAACCATCGATACTAACGGTTATGTGACCAATGGAAATATGAGAATTCCACCAGAAGGTAAGGAGGCAACTTATGCGATCGCGCCTCAATGATCCAGGTCGTTTCTCTGTTACAAAGTTCAAGCTACCCAACATTCTGGACCTCTTTGAAAGACCGATTGAACTTACATTAGGAATTCTTTGGAAAGAATTGGTGATAGATTATTGCTATAATCCACGTTATGTGCGATTTGGTATTTGGTTTACGTTTGAACCATGGTACCAATTAATAACAAATGAGTAAAAAAAGTTAAAAATGCATTTCAAGTGTGCAGCCTATTGATGGATCATATAGTAGTGAAAGTGTTCCAATGATGAATTCCTGGAGATATTTGTGGATGGATTTTTTTTTTTTGTAACTTTCTATTTTATTTGTTTGTAAGTTCTTGGTGCGAAAGCGACGAATCTGCGAATTTAGAAGGTAAAAACAATCATATTTACAAGCCACTTCTTGATAATTCCTTTACGGGAAAAATCACTGAGATTCATAGTCGACACCATGAAACTCCTCTCCCATATTATTGTAAATAATCGTACGGACCATCCAAATGCACTAGTTGCCAAAGAGTTAGCTGATAAATTTGTAATTTTAACCATTAGATGTTAAATTATGTAAATAGGGATCTTACACTATACTATACCATAGTATACACGATGAATGACTGCTGTGCGAATCCTACGTTTGAACGTGCTGTGAAATATTCTCCAAGAGGAAGCGTATAGTACTGTGGGAATGATAATTTCATTGAATAATTCGTAATTCTGCGAAATAGAAAAAATACGAATCCCATATAGTGATGGGACAGTCGAAAAATTGACGACTTGTTTTACGATTCTAAAATAATAGAACATAATAATAATTTTTAAAAAACCGGGAAGAAACCGAGAACGAAGGAATGAAATTTTTTTAAATTTTATACACAGAAATACGCATTGCCGCACAGGTTGCGTGACATTCCTTGCAGCAATCGCATGTAAAGTATTTTTATTTACAAAAGAAATCATCGAACACGCTCAGCGCGTTCTTGAAATTTTTAGAACATTCATTAGCCGGATAATTGTTTTTATTATCATCTTATCACAAAATATCCAAAACCGGAAGGAAAGAATGCACGAAAAAGGGAATAAAACTTCGTCACTTTTCGCTATTGCTGCGTTTAAAGGGGAATGAAAAAGAAAAATCAAAATCCACTGCCGATCGCCATTGAAAAGAAAAGGAAAGAAAAGTTGTGCATCGAACTTCGCAATAATTGGCTATTGTTTTAAGTTATTGTTTCCTTTATCCATTCTCCAACGCCTTTTAAACGACTTTCATCATTTCGCACACAATCACCGCGCTCTCAACAGACTCTTTATACTTTCCATCGCGACATTTATTATGCGAAATATTCATAGAAACGCATGGCATATGTGTGACATACGTTGGACATTATTACTCGCGAACGATGGGAGGTGCTTTTGAAGACTGAAAAAAAATATAACTCTTGCTATTATAAATATTAGAGAGTGAAAATGCTCTAGAAATTAGTAGAGCAGGATGAAGAAAAAAAAAAGGCTGATTGTGCGAAAATGCGTCTTAGAACTTCGAAGGAACATCACTGTGGCGTCCCCTTCCAATTTTTGTGAGACTAAACTATATGTATTGTAGAGCTTGAAAAATTAGGAGACGTAGATTTTTTTATCTGCGGAAAAATGCTTTTAAGGGATGAAATTAGTCTTCAAAGTCGTGCATGTCGAAGGGTGATAATGCAATTTCACCTAGAAGAAATCGACCAATTTTAGTGAAACAAAAACTAAAATAGTTGTCACGAGAAGCAATGAAATATTCGCATTGAATTTAAAAAAAGAGTATGTTGCGGGGGTGATCAGCTCCTGCATTTTTCTGTTTTTCACCCTGTATAAAAAATGTATCAAGCGATATAAATGAAACGCTGTCGATATTTAAAAAGGAAAGTAAAATTACATTTGAGGTATTTATAATTGCATATTTATTATAGGAAACCGAGTTTAGGAGAGTAAACTTTTACCTCTTACATATAAATACATTGACTTTCATACAGAATCTTTTTTCTCACAATTCAAAAGTCTACATTAATTCAAAATAGTTCTGTGAAGTGCAAATTCAAGATTTTGTACTTGAACCATCTATTACCGATCTTTAAAGAGGTAAACTGCCTGCTCGAATTTACCTTTCTTTTTGTGTTTTAAAAATTTAAATATCTTTAATCATCTTACATGGATTGTTATTTTATGTATTGGACGTATTTCATTAATAATTAGGAAAATACTTTCTATTTCTTGTAGATTAATAATTTCCTTTCATTAATTAAATACAGTTTTTAGTTATATGCTACCAGTAAATGGGCAATAACCGTTACTGCGGGACTACACTTTTATCAGTAACGATATTCTTATCGATGATTATGGAAAAGCTTGTTATCTGAAACAGCATTGCACTCTATGACATGCTCAACTTTAGAGGGTGATTTCACCCCTTAAACCTGTTTTCCTAGCAGTTAAAAACAAAACGTGTCACTTAGTTTTTCAAGATCTATGACATAATTAAGTTTCACCAACATCATAAGGGAATACAAAAATGATGTTCCTTGCCAGTGCGTCACTAGTGTGTTTGATTGTGCTAATTAGGCAAAATAAGATTATCTACGATAAAAGATAAGCATTAAGACTAATGAAGGCGAGTAAATTATTAGACAGGATTAAAACAAATGGGTAAAAGACGTGATAAAGTAAGAGAGCCGAACAAACGATAGTCGAATGGATAAAAAGAAAAGAAGGAAATCGAAAAACATATTTCGAATTCTTCTCATTAGGCGTGTACAAGAACGATTTAATCAATCAATCCCTCCTTATCATCGGACATTTGTATAATATATCATCTTAACAAATATAAAAATCGCATAATTGTCAACGAGTATATAAAAACATATAAATAAATTCATTACAAATATACATGTACGATACGATTACTACAGGAAAAAGTGCGAAAGGAATGATAACTAAAATGTAAATTAAGGCGAACTAATCAGAAAAGAAAATAACTAAATGTCATCACGCGTGTTTCATAAGACTGTATATGCGTGATAATCCTGGGTACATAGTAAGCACACTCATGTCCGTTATCCATATACATACACAAACACATAATTATTATTACAATTATTATTATTACTGTGCAAACACACACACTACAGGTTATTCATAATGGAAAAAAAATGATATATTATAATTAGTATCAAATTAACATAGATGTTTTACTAGTTACGAACGAATCGAAAGACGCAAATGAGAAATTTATGTAGATTAGTTGCGACATGATTTCTGCAACATCAAAATTGACACGTTAAATTCACGTAAGAAAGTAAAGACAAGAAGGTGAGCATTAAACCTGGTCAATTGTTCTGCAAAGAAGGAAATGTTAAAACAGAGCTCTGTCAAGTAGAACTATATAGACTATTATTATATTACTAATGAATATGACTTATTCGTGGAAAATATGCAACCTGAAGTTATCTATACCATAGGAAGAATCAAATAGAAGCATAAACTTCAGGTAGTTAATATATTCTGAACAACCTTATAAGATACTTGTACAGAGTCACTCAGAACCATTGCATAACCTGAAATTGGTTTGTACGACAAAACTCTGATAGATGAGAAGTCAACGTCAGTTGATGCAATAGTCCTGGAAAACCTTATATGTATAATATACATATATAAAATTACGAGTAGTAAACGAGAAGAACGAAATTGGCGTATGTTAGAAAAAAAAAGTACAGTTTAATGTTAAATTATCTGTAGGCACGTGTAGACGTGCATCTTAGAGATCTAGTCAAGAGAATATTGTTTGTGATGTGGTGCACACAAGTGTTTTGCTGAAATCAACGCGTATAGTATCACACGGTTTGCGAGTCGGGAAAGGGATGACAATTGTTATTATAATTATGACTATCATTACGTAATGATTTTTTATTATTTTTACTACTAACGAATATATGTATGTAAATACGTTATTCAGAAGATTTACCTATTATCAGAACACGTAGGTACCAATTATTCCATTAACGTTTCGTTTGATAGAATTTCTTACTGAAAAGCAGCGAAGTTGTAGAAGAGAAAAAAGTAAATGTAGAAACAAAAGGAAATTCGGTGTTTTTCATAATGCGTAAGACGGGCGAATAGCATCTTGCTATAATAAAATTAATATCTAAACCATACAATTTCTAGTGAGAATTCAATCAAACAGTCAATTTGATTTTTTAATAAGGATATGTGTGTTGTATTAGACACTCTCCCACTATCATGACTAAAACTTTAATAAAAAGTATCTGTAATATTTTTCATTCAATCAACCGACACGGTCTATGTGAAGTAACCATTTGGCGTATTATGTCTCCTGTAGCATATATTGTAAATACCTAACAGTGTTAAATCAGTATCGAGTCCTCGAACGCTAATGATCGTCACCTTCGAGAAGCTGTTTTCTTAGTAGGATTTTTATTTTTTCATTATTTGCATGTTTAACATTCATGTGATACGTGATTTTGAAAAATTCATAAAATAACGAGCGAAGAAGATATCAGTCAAGATTTAATAATTTTTTTTTGTATTTCCCTGACCACTTATTACTGTATACTCGCGAATCTGCCACAGCTATTACTAAGTAAAAATAACTCTCGTGCAGAATCGTCACGACCAATTAAAGCTAAGCTAGCATTAAAAACAAAGAAAATGAGCGAGAATAGGAAACGGGGACACGCAAAGTCTTGGCAATTATATCGAATCCATCCTGATGAAATTCTGTTTAATTTAAAAATATATATACACATATATCTATTCCATGATTATCAGACCATTATTTCCTGATGCGTACAATCGCAAGAAAAAGCAAGCGATTAACAACGAAACTCACGATGGCCGTTCTGTACCTATCTGGTCTGTGTCAAAAGGCAGACTAAGAATATTTTTACCATTTTGCATTTAGTAGCTTAATTTTTTACTGTCACATCAATCGCCGATATATAACAAGAATTAGACGGTATAGAGGGGATGGGAAGACGCAGCTTAAAAGAAAAGAGCTAAGTTCATGCGAGTGAGATTGTTCGCAAGAAAATTGAAAAAAAAAGTCAACTTACGATGAGACCCGAAAAATGATTTCCAAGTTTCTACAATTTTATATAATCCGTAAGAACGCGAGTGCGAGAGTCTGTAAGGAAGAAAGGGGAAAGAGAAAGAACTAAAAAAAAATGTATTTAAATCTTTCGAGAATTCCTTTTTCGAATCGCATCAACATTCTATTTTAAGAAAAATAAGAAGAGGAACGGAAAATGTGTATTATATCTTTTACTTGTTGATATTATGCTGTGCCAAGATATCAAGACGATCGGAGCGCAAAAAAAAGAAAGACAGCTATGATAGTACATCAGTCGAGAGACAGATGCCGGCAGAAAATGATATTGTATCTATACTATAATAGTTTTGTAATTTTATTTGCGTCCTATTAACTATGTGGGTACACGCGGAGATCCGATTTCTAAATATGTATTATTGTGCACGTGCATTCTGTCAGCTTCACCAGTTTTGTTAGGCGATATTTTCTGCTATACTTTTTATTTATACGTGCACTGAAATACACGCTTAGATATGTGATTCGTGTACGTACGTACGTAGGGAATAAGAATCGAGACAAAGTTGATTAGCATCTTCACGCGAGACCATTTATAATCATTTTGATAACAATTGATAACAATGGAAGGTATTTTTGCCATTCCAAGTACGGTATGAATTTTGTAAATAGACATTGTAAATATTACATTGAGCATTTTAGTGAAAGATTAACGAAACAGGGAATGCAGAGACAGCGATAATTATTAACTGACAGCGCGAGAGGCCGAGTTTCATGAAGGATAGGGAGAAAGGAAAACGTAAAAGAAGCAAAGAATGATATAGAAAAGTGATAGAATTTTAAAGTATCTAATTATTAACGGAAGCAAGATGCGATTTATATATAATATATAAGACGACGATTTAACTGTATGAAAATGAATAAATGATAAGAGAGAAGTATAGAGATCGAGCACACTTCGTAAGCGATATACAAGATATATTAATATATATGTATTATATATATATGAAGATATATATTATAATGACTTGATAAAAGAAATTGATGAATTAAGCTGCGTGTGGCTTTGAATGTCTGTGACGATATAAGAAGTAGTTTGTATCGAGTCCAATCGACGGTCAAACGAAGCCGAACGACGTTTCTGATTTTCTGTGACCTTCGACCTTTCGAACTAGTCCTAAACTCAAACTCGATCGGCTATTCCGTAAAATTTTACGATTTCACCTTCTACGCGATTATTGATATAGGAGTATCGTGTGAGAAGAAAGTAAATATTAAATCAATGCGAGTGACGACACGAGCCCCGTTTGCCTGCTATCAGCGCGCATTAATCATTAAGCGTAATACGAATAAAGTAAGATGGCGGAAGAGAATATATGATGCATCATTGCAGTTAAACGGTGTAATATGTGTAACTAGTAGAATTTTTCGAATTTCATCGGTGAAGCAAATTACTGAAAATAATTTTTCATAAGTCATTTCCTGCCCATTATTTTATTTTTCCTTGTGCATTTTCATATATACTTTTCGTCTCATTGCGGTCATTTTAACGACGAGCCTCTCACACAGTGTTACAAGGAATTTCGAAAAAAAAAAAAAATTGAAATGAAAATGTCGCATTGCCGTCTATACACACTGCCCTGCCATTATAATTATATTAAATCGTATATTCTCTTACTAAAATGAGAATAACGTTGCGATTCAGATATTTCGAAGTTCTCGATGAAACGAGAGGCTTTTGCGGAACTGACTATTTCGTTTAAATTCCCTGCGTTTCCAGCTGCTTTTTTCAACGAACATCGTTTCGAGCGACGTGTGGTAAGCGCGCGGAATTTTACTGGAATATTTTTATCAATCATCCTTAACAAAATCCTGCGGTGATTTCATATGAGATGTAAAAACGTACAGTCGCTCGAGCTTTTTACGCACGTTGGAAATTCAGCAAGGACTGCCAATCATGAGCACCGAACTGTAATAAAAAAAATGCTCACCCTGCGTACGAAAACCGACATTTTGTATAAATGTACACTCTCGTATTGTTAATGATTACAGAATTACCGATAGGTCCAGCAGCAGCGTATTACGTTCTTGTAACAATAAAAAATGATGTAATAAAACACGGTCATGGCTCTATTCATTCTTTTCGTGGCTGCCTGAATGCTTCCCATTTTCCTCGCGGTAATTATGAATACAGTCGCCTCAATTTTTCTAATCATTTTCGAAATTCATGTATACACCCAGGCACTGTATGTAATGCATACTGAATATACTTTACATGCTTAGTATTACTAAAGAAAATGATATGCAAATACTTACCCGTAATATAAATAGATAGTGAATGGTAATCCCAATCACAAAAAATCATACTGATGTGTCGGTATGCTTCTCTTACAAGATAAATATAAATAACATGAAACATAGTACGTTCCTGTGTGTATGAAAAAGTACGTATTATTTCTTATGATACAAAAATTAAGAAGTTATGATTAAATAATATAAAAAAAAATCCGTCATGACATCCCGATAAAGTCAACTCTCGACATCTCGTCCCGGACAACTTGTTCCGATCCCGAATTCGCTGGGAATGCGCTCGATAGTCAAAGATTTGTATTTATCTATGTTGGGGTAATACAGTGCTAAGCTAGTCTAAGGTCACCTAACCAAGCCTAGTCAGTTACAAGCCCATTACGGCAGTGATCTCCGTGTGGATAATTTGTATTTATTTAAAACTCCAACCTCGTTCAATTCATCCCAAGTGCGAGTCACAAGAAAGAAAAACTCAATGAAAAAAAAGTAGGGTTTAAGAAAAGGAAACAAGGGGAGATACATGTAGAATTTTTCATACATTCATTTATTCAATATATTTCGGCAAATTCTGAAAAACGAACAAGTTCTACTGTTTATTTCATTAAGCTTTTGTTTCTTGAAACTCTCACTTGGAATGAATTCATCGAGGATGGAGTTTTAAATAAATAAAAATTTTCCACCCGGAGATCACTGCCGTGATGAGATTGCAAATAGCCAGGCTTAGTTAGATTAGGTTGGAACTGTACTGCCCTAACTGTCAATGACTCTGATGGTTTCCTAGATAAATGAAAATTGTCGGCGAACGACCGAATTTGGGATCAGGATAACTTGTCCGGTACGAGCTTTCGCGGGATGACTTTACCGGAATGATCTGTCCTGTTTCCAGAAAAAAGAAAAAATCTATTTTTCCCACCAGCAGAACAGCTCGAAAGATAAAAAAGTAATACGAAAACAAGTCAAAATGTGAAACCTTATTCTTAAAAAAGCTGCATCCAAAAAGTCCAAGACATATCTGGACACGTGTTAAATAAATATCATCTTGAAGAAAAACTCGTGATCAACAAAAATGGTGTTTGACGACAAGAAAAATATTCTACGATATTGCTAAAAAAATATGTCTTTATTGTACACGTAGCAGTAATCAACGAATTAATCTTAATGGAGACAGTCATCGTTTACGTAAAGTTCGAGCTTATTGGCAATAACGAATTGAGATATCTATGCATATTTTTCCTTGTTATTTTTCTTCTTTTTTCATGCTCATCGTTCTCCCCCCCCCCCTCTCCCCCTCTCGCTCACCTCTTACTCCCGTCATTTTGATATCTTCTTCGAGTACATTTAAACAGTGATGGTAAAGTCTTTAGGAGATTTTGAAAGAGAGTTTGTCGCAGCCATCAATCCCTTTTTGCGATGAACCTTAAGCTTCATGTCGATATCGCACTCAGCTTCGCTGGTCTCGTGCGCGTCCATGAAACCGGAAGGCGGCTTAAGTTCCAGGGTCGACAGCTCGCTACCCCAATCCTCGAGCCTGCCGCGCGTCTTGCCATTACGAGATACGCGATTCAAGTTTCGTACCAATCCCGTCCTAGGAGTCTCCTCCAAAAGACAGAGTGACTCCACGGACTTTCTCGAACCAGTCTCTTTCACGGATGATCTCTCACACGTGACGCTTCCTGGCCGCGTGGTTGTCGGATGACTTGGTGACGTTGTCGTCGAAAACGCACGCAAACCGGACTCTGAGAGCTTCAGGGCCGGTCGCAGTATGCCCAACCGACCCGGGTCGATGGAAACGTCTGGCGCAGCGCCACGACTCCTGAAGACAATAAAGGGAAGAGCGTCTCTCTCTTTTTTTTCTAAACTATGGAATTATGTAATGCTCGTATTGGTCTTTATCGACTGCTACGCACCTCTGCTTCTCCATTCTAGGAAATGTCTTCCTTTCAGAAATTGGTGACGGCTCGGTTGATGTACTTGATTCTTGCGTGTGGTACAGGACATCTGTCAGAAGCAATTAGCAAAAGATGACGATGATTAGTGGATTGTCAGCTGCGCTTAGGTCGACACAGAAAACTGAATACTAACTTACTATGATGAACCGGCCTCGGCACCAGGGCAAGTCGTTGTTCCCGACCGCGCGGTCCACCAGAATTAGTACCCGGTGACCTAGCCATTATCGAAGTGGGTGCAGAATCATCCAAATGATTAGATGATTCGGTTCTGCTACTCGTCCCAACCTCCGTGTCGCTATCCGACCCTAGAGTGTCGTATTCCTCGGACTCGGACTTGAATGACTTCGATTTGCGACGCGCGCGACCGCGCACTTTTGTATATTGATCTACATCGCACTGCAATAAACAATTGATACATTTTTTATACTCTCCTCTACTCCATTTTTCTAATTCGCTTTGTCTAAAACCATCAAAAGATATGATACACTAAAACATAAGAAAAATTAATTTCAAGAAAATTCAATGACATGACATAAAAGATAGTTTGGCAAAGTTCGAAAAATATTCGTGTTATCTTTTATTACGTAACAGACGTAAATCTGTTCACGTGCATGAAAATTTATTTGCACCGTGTCTTTCTGCTTGTTACTCACCTGCGCTCCCTGGAGCATTGTCTCGCTACGCTCGTAGAAGAAGGCCTGACGTATCGGGTTCGCGGAAAGGTTTTCCTGCTCGGGCAGATGGAATGTAGCGTACGGATAAATGTCTTCGGAATATTCGGGAATGCGTTCCAGCGCGCTCACCTCTCGGCAAGGTGACTGCTGACCCGGTTTCCTTACAGTAGCATAATACTGTTCCCGTTGTTCCATGTTGTGCTTGTTATCTAGCGCTGCTTGGGTTTGGGAACTCGGATCGTTAGCGGAACCCGATCTCCCTGGATCTTCAAAAGTAAACACGGCAAAGCATTAGGAAATTTTAAATTGGAATAAAGTACGAATTTCCTTGCCACGTGCATAAAAATTGACAAAGACAAAAAAAAATCCTTAGCACCGACTCCTTTTTGAGACGAAAAAAACAACAGTGTCCCTCTTCAAGTTTGCCCAAGAGTTGCTCAGATTTTATAAAGCGCTTCGTACAATTGACCGGTGGTGAATGATATAAAAGTCTCAACGTTTTGCAAGCTGTTTCAGCTACTGAATAGCCCCTGTGGTATGTGTAAATTTCTTTAGTAAATTCATTTAATCTTTCGCCACCGTGAATATTATGCACGGATTCAAGCGCTACATTATTTTACATAGTAACCACCCAGTGCAGGGTGGCATCGTCTTCTTGAGGACACTTTCAAGTTATAATTGGAGTACGGCGTCTTGAGTGTTAAGATACGACAAGAAGTAGATGAGTGGTGGGAATGACTTAACGAAGGTAAATTTACTCAACTCTCACTGGCTTCAATACTGCACGCCAGTGGGATGCTGTCAACAAGCTTTTGGAAAAGCTTTCAAACATACTTCTTTTCATGAATATTAGCACAGTAATACATAGTTAGATAACCACGTATCATTTGCCAATAAGGTATTACTAATCTATGCACATGCATGGGAGTAGGTAATGATTATAAGATCGCATTGGCTTTGCCTAAATGCAATTGTAAAATAGACACAATAGGCAATGTCAATGTCAAGAATTATAAGGTACTTACGGGTCCTGAGGCAAAAGCAGACTCCGGCGACAGCCAGAATGACGGCAAGGAGTGAAATAACACTAGGCGCTAGAACTTGTGCGTCAAGATAGAGCGGCGTGTCTTCCATACCGTTTGAAGGTCCCTCTTGCATCCTAGTGTTGCCATTGGGGCTCAAAGTAGTGAATAAATACTCCTCCTGAGTTGAGCCAGCATTATTATAACCAGTAACCCTCAGCTCATAGCTGGTTCCACGCTCTAGATCGACTATTGGGAATCGCGACTGAGGTGGAACGTTATTGGACACTATATGAAGGACACAAACATAAAGAATCTCTATTAGGATGTTATTACAGATTTCAATCAGGCGAGAGTTAAAAAATAAATTATTAGAACAAGAATCAGGCTTTATAACATATTACAAAGAAATGGAAAATATAATTACCCAGAAGCCAATCGCCTGGCAACCTCTTATACTCCACAACGAAGTAAAGCAAAGGACAACCACCATCTTGCCACGACGCCAGTTCCAGTATAACAGATGTCAGGTTGGCTCTAATGAGATGCTGCTTGGTAGGCGGTATGGGCTTCGACCCTTTGGTTCTTGCAGTTTCCATCTTACTGGCGCTGCCACTGCCAATTCGATTGAAAGCGGCTAAAGTGAATTGGTATCTCGTCCCGCATTGCAGCCCTTCTAGCAAGTGGGTGGTAGCTCTGCGATCGAGAAGAACCTCTTCCCATTCAGCAAATTCTCGCCGGTAAGCCAATAGGAATCCTTTAATGGGCGCACCCCCGTTGTCTCCCTGTTTCCATTGTAGTTGAACTGCATCTGTCGTGGTGCCGGTTGCGAGAAGCGTGGGCGGCGTTGGTGGAACTATGTTGAAAGTTTACCAATTAGAAACTTGCAAGTTCGACCGGAAAAACAGGCCGGATACTTCGTCGAGATATCATTCGAGTCTTTCACAGTAAATATACAACTGCAAGGGTTAAAGAGTCCACGATTATGATCCATAAGCAGCCCGACGATTTTACATAAGATTTTCACTTCTTTATTATTTTTTTATTTTTATTATACGTTTATACTATGTTCTATGTGGATAGACATATTGCACAAAATCTTTTAGTCTTTCGGTCAATGCTTTCAGCGACTCTTATAGTCAACATCTTTTGTTCTCTTTCTCCCTCTTCGAGTCTCTATACCTATATAATGTAAAGTGTATTATATTCGAAGAGTGAACTCGACTGCTGAAACAGTTTCAAGAATTTTAATATAGCACTTGTCCTATATTTTGCAGCACATAAAGATGCTTTGCATTTCAGTGACTTCTCCCGGGTCCTGGTGCAACTGAAAACATTTTCAGCAGACATCCCAAACCGATATGCACAACAATGTTATAAATTATAATAAAAATGTGAGCATCGTTAAAAAAATCAAACGTAGGAAGTACTCGTTAATTAAATTTAAAAAGAAGGAAAGATACATTTAATAACAATCCGGACGAAATTCTTTTCACCCACATACCTTGTACCTGAAGCATGTAATCTATCCGATCGGATCCAAGGGAATTTCTGACATGACAGGAATAGTTTCCCTCGTGACTCCTTTGTACATTCCGCAAAATTAGCGTATTATCAGAACCTATATCCAACCTGAAACAAACGACAAATTTTACTAATAAAAATATATATACAATATAAGTAAATTGTAGGATATATTATAATTTTGTAAAACAAAGTCGAAACCGCACGAGTCATTTATCTTAGCCAGAGTTCAAGACTCACGAGAAAGAAAGCGGCCTTCACCATTCCCTCCCTTAACGTTAAAACGAGCCTTGACTGTACCCCAAGGAATAGGGGGCTTACCTCTGCTGTTTCTGCAACTTCACATCGCCCAACCACCACTCAACAGTAGGTTTCGGATTCCCAACAAAAAGGCAAGCGAGGCTCACGTCCACGCGCCATGGTACAAGAACAGGAACGCCAAAGGATATGATGGCAGCCGGAACTTGATGGAACAAAAAACAAAGAACAATTCTATTAAACAGAAAATACTCTGTTTGCTCTTGTTCAACTTTCAATTTAGAATAGCATGGCTCCCTTAGCTTTATTTATAGGATTCCTCCGTCCCTTATCACTTACTGGTGGTGCTAGGATGAAGTTTTATCACTGATGTGCTTGGCCCCTGTCCTACTTTAGTCGAGGCTGTCACCCAAGCTTCGTAGGACTCGCGTAGCTTTAAGCCCACCGCATCATAGTGCAAATTCTGCGCAGGCAGACTGCCTTTAATGATCTTTACTTCCTGGCCCTTGTCCAACACCCTAATATAAACGGTATACTTGGTAAGGATACCGTTCGGCCGTCTTGGTGGCAACCAGGATATCACTACAGTGTCCTCAGCACTTGCGACAGCTTTAAGTTTTTCAGGTGCATCTGGCACTGTTCAAATATAAAAGAAACAATACAAGCATTTAGTACCAGTAACTCTTTTCTTAGACAGCCATCGCAAAATTACTGCAAAATATTGTAATAAAACTTATGGTATATTATGACACATATTATGCAATGCAGTCTGTACTAATGAGCTGTTTTTAAGTATAGTATATTATGCAACTAGCGCGTAAAGTGAAAAACAGTCACGCACCAGTTGCACACGCTTTTTTGGCGCAGCCGTGAATAAAGTTCATGTGTAAAGTTCGATTTTCAGTGCGTAAAGTGTACTTTTCACATTACACACAGTATGAAGAAAAGTAGCACTTTACGCACTGAAAATCGAACTTTACGCATGAACTTTATTCACGCTCGTGCAAAAAATATGTTTGCACATAGTGAGCTAGCTCTTAGTGCTTAGTGTACTTTCAATTACCCGTTTCCTCGGTGGTGCAGGATACCGGATTACTACTGACACCCTCCCCAGCGCGCGTATACGCCAACACTTGAACCGTGTAATTAGTGTAAGGGTTGAGACCGTGCAACACTGTGCTAAGTGCATGGGATATCTTGGTCTCCCGAGAACCCTGCATTTCAGTAGCTCCATCATTGGCAGCTTCGTAGAGGAGCTTGTAACCTTGCACTATACCGTGCAATTTGTCAGACGGTGGCGGCTTCCAGGTTATCTGTATACTCTGTCCGGTAAGGGCGGCACACGCGACGTTTTGCGGCGGTGCGCTTGGAACTTAATAGAGAAATATTTAAATTAAATTAATTGGGCGTGTTAAGAAAATTATATAAAATCAAGCCACGTATAATAACAGTCTTATATGATTTTAACAATTATTGGTATAATCATTTACCGTCTTCCAAAGTTTGTGCCACAACAGGATCAGAACCTGGACCATCCCCTTTACTGTTAAATGCTTTAATAACAATACTGTATTGGGTGTATTTACGTAATCCGGTTAGTCTGTAATCGTAGGAACCGTCGCCATTTCCAGTAATTCCCACTCTAGTAGTATTAATGGTCTCGTCATCGTGTCTACAAGAAAGATTTCATTCAGCGACAGTTATACAAGCATCCTAATAAATCTTGTCTGTATACACGTTCACGTTATATCGTCCTAAGAGGTGTGTATTTTTAGTGACAACAAATTCTTAAACATCGTCTCGAGCCTTTGGCATTATGGGATAACAACATGCAAAGACCGGTTTAAGTAAATACATTGTGACCGGTTAATTAAATAAAGATCAAAGGAATTAATATACCCACCCCAAATTTCGATAGCCTATAGTGTAACCAAGGAGTTCGCCGTTCCATAGGGATCGATCAGGTGGTTGCCATGTGATTCTAAGTTGTTGAGCTCCCAGTGGCTCGACCGAGATCTGCTTCGGAGGACCGCTAGGCACTTCGCCGTCAGTTTGAGCCTAGGTAATCGAGAGTAATTCTAGTTTGCCAATTTTCCACATGTTTCCCTTGATTGGTGGCGAGCGATACAGGTTAGAGACAGCATGGAATGTCTTTTATATTACATGTATGACTTTCGTCGAATGATTAATGTAAGAAGCGATTTGTTATCTAATGACTTTAGGATACTGACATGAAGTGTGTCGCTTGGGGCTGAAGTCCCGAGATGATTTTCCGCAAAGACACGAAAGTGGTAGGTTGTGGCTGGTTTTAGAGGCGATACCAGGGCTACCGTGTTGTCCCCTGCGACCGTCTGCTGAGTGTTGTGTTCATGCCACACATCTTTTCAGTACATACAACACAGGACTTAGAAATGATCAATTGTTATGTACGCAGCTTTTTTATATTTATTTTTTTTATTAACTTAATCTGTTTACTTTAAATCATCACTTTAACGCCCATACGAATATTATTCAGAACAGTGTTAAGCAGTAGACAGGTGAGTATACTGATTTCATTATTGATACGAAACTGTTAGGGAAAACTAAAAGAATACGTCATTCGAGAAACTTAGACGATTCTGATAAGTCCGACGTCTGGGCTATAGTAGATACAAAATTTTTCTTTTTTTTTGTGTGAACGTCCTCTTTTCCCTCTCGGCGTTTCTTTCATACCAACTATTTTCATCTCTCTTATTTCACTCGATATTCCTGGATACGCCATTCTCACGAAATGACTATAAGGGTTGCTGAAAGAAATTTTCTTTTCCTCGTGCGGTATTCGCACCCAATGGACGTCAGAAATTTCTCCCCAACACGGCCGTTTTAGTTAGGGTAGAGAGAGAGAGAGAGAGAGAGAGAGAGAGAGAGAGAGAGAGAGAGGGAGAGAGAGAATCTCTCTTATTTCACTCGATATTCCTGGATACGCCATTCTCACGAAATGACTATAAGGGTTGCTGAAAGAAATTTTCTTTTCCTCGTGCGGTATTCGCACCCAATGGACGTCAGAAATTTCTCCCCAACACGGCCGTTTTAGTTAGGGTAGAGAGAGAGAGAGAGAGAGAGAGAGAGAGAGAGAGAGAGAGAGAGGAAGAAAAAAGAAAAGTGAAACGATGCTTTCTTTGTAATAGAGTGTATTTCCTTACGGTAGAGTACTTTCGCTCTACGAGCCCCCATAAAGCACGGGAATCACCTTTGAAAACCTCCATTGGTTTTCACGTTAAAAATAGCCTCCTTTCTAGACCTAGAGAAGATTCACGTGACCTCTCACACATATTTCATCCATATTTCGCACAATTTGCCCGCCTCTACCACCACCCTGGATGAATCTTTCTAGACCAAAGAGCCAAGAAATGTCTGGCACGCATTCCTGTTTCTACAACTGACTTTCGCTATTCGCTATAGGTTTTCTTATTAGTGCGAAAAAGTGTCATAGGCATATTATTCCCCTTTAACAAACAGTACTGTCCTGAATAAAAATCCTTCGTCTGGGCATAAATTCAAAAATACCTAATTCACACGGTCCTTGTGATGACATTATAAATAAAAGAGACAGATCAGACGAAAAAGTACGTATGGGGAAACCCACATTATCGACAACAGAGAATGAAATGTAAGCGAAACGATTGGAATGAATCGAATGAAAGAATACAAGCCGATTTATTCAAATGCCAAGTGTAAATGCCATGAAATATCTTGATAGGTTATCAAAATCAAAAAAAAAATTCAACTATCCATATATAAATCTTTTGAAGCGCCAAATATAGATTATTAAAGTTTCAAAATATTTATCTGTTTCATTGAACATCTTGAAAAACATACCTTGAGCCTCCTTATACTGCACGACGTATTTGGTTATAGGCGAATCCGGATGAGCCGGATCAGAATCACCAGTCGGTGGCATCCAGGCTAAAAGTATGGAGCGACTACCCTGCTCGGACACGTGCAAGTTACGTGGAAAATTCGGTGGTTCCTGTACAAGCAGATGTATCGTCGCTCTATCATGTCCGTACGCATTTCCGGCTACGCAAACGTATTCACCACGATCGGCATGTCCAGCCTCGTTGATTCGCAATTCCGATACCATTCCACGCGGGATTGGCGAATTATCCAGAGAGTACCTGTTCACAGAATTCCAATAAGCAGAACATTAGTTAGGAAATGTAAGAGGCCACTGCGAATGGGAATAACAAGGATATGCTATCCGTTGTCACTCTTGGTATTCGTTACGTCTATTAGAAATAACATGAAAAACGTAATATCGTTCTTGCCATGTGAAACGTAATGGTCCATGTTTACTTATGGCTGTAATAACCAGAAGAACGGTATCCACCACCACAAGAAGACATAACATTGGCATGCCTTGTTTTACGATTGAAGGAACATCCTATTGCGTGATGGGATATATTTTTATTATTTTTCCTTTTCACTCCCCTCGCTCATTCAGAAGAAAATGCCAGAGGCATTCGACGTGAAATAAACTTGACCATATAAGTGATGGCGAAACATCCGTTAGATAAAATGAAACAACTTCTATTTTACGGGAACCTAAAATCTTCCACAATGAAGAGCATGTTTTGTTACATGATTCCTATTCAGAAATATACTCTAATATTGAGAATCCTCCAGGATTATAAAAAAAAAAAAAAAAAAAAAAAAAAAAAAATTTGTTTAACTTTATTCCCATCTCGTCGGTATAAGAATAAATCGCGAGGATGCTTTATTATGAAATCGGAAATTGGCGTCGATCTTCGGGCGAAGAGCGAGCGTTTCCAGAGTCGTAAGATAAATGTATACAGAGATGTGGTCCACTTTGAAGGAGTCCCATAGGTCCGGGCAATAAAAGCCAACCGAACGTAAACTCATGTGAAACTGGGTTCTACAAACGTCGAAAGAAAAACATCTGCGGGTCCGAATTTTTTTCTGGTCTTCAGGGATAAATATATTTTTCAGCAAACGACCAGTGTAAAATTCGATAAAAGCTCCGCGATAATACCTTTTTTTTCGTTTCAAGTCTAAAGGGATTACACAAAGGTAGCCGGGAACTGAGTCCTTTAACTGGATAGGGAATGAAATAAAGTACTTTCCAAAGTTTGTTAAAATAAAGGGACTATCGCGCAGGCGTAAAAGCTTCGTTCTCGACATATCGCTAAGACGAAGATCGTGACTCTCTGCGTAGGTTTACGTGGACGCTAAAGTTATTTGAGATAACGCAGTTACCGTTTTCTCGACAAATGCGTTTAAGGACTATCTTGATACTCCCTCTATCCGGTACCCGTGTGGCTGGCTCTTCTTATATCCACTGTGCACCCCTGAACGTAAATTGCCTTTAGGGCTAAGATATTAATAGTACCAGGAATCTTTTGACAGCGCAGAGTAGAATTCTGACGACCAAGAAGAAAAATAAGTGTGGCAAATAATATTAAAAATGTTTTTTACGTAAACCTTTTCAATACCTTAGCTGATACCGTTTATATCATTCTATGGGAATACTACTATCTACTTTCTTCTGAACGACTTTATATATTTCTATTGTTAACATTTATACATATGTATATCTGCTGGTCATGGTTCAATACCTTGAGATATAATTGTAGGTAGAATTCATCAAGAGTAATACATATACTGAAATCACTAATAACCCCCATAAACTCTCTATATAGGAAGTGCCATAATTTTTACAAAAAATTACAGTTTCCTCGTCGACGATTCCTTCAAATGAATATAAATTTCCTTTTCTCGTTCGTCTCTTTTAATATTATGCATTGTGCGTTTCATTAAAAAAAAATCGCTTTTATCATTAGCACTATGCAAAATCATAAAGGATGTAAAAAAAATACATAGAGATTTATTGGCGAAACGCACAACATTGCACAGACATTTACGTGAGTAATATTATATCCAATAGCCAATACCCCATGATACGTAATCCTGCACAGCTTAAAGACATAGCATAGTTGCATGATTTTACTGCAAGGGACTAGATTCCCACCCTAGTTTATAAAAAATTATATATTTCCTTATAATTCAAAAAATTAAGCTCCACCATTCCTGCCTTCACCAAGGTACAGTGTGACAGATTATCTAGCATAAATATATTACAGTATTTAATACATAAATCATATTAACAAACTACTAAAAATAATATAACAAATAGGATATTAACAACGTAATACCTATCAAGTATATACCAACAGATTAAATTGAATATCCGCCTATACATGTAAGCATTCCTGAGGAGATAATGATACACGTATAATCCACCATAACAATCTGATCGAATATGTCTTGGGATTGATAAAAAAAATAAAATAATAATATCCTCCCATTAAGTTTCATAGTATAGTAAAGCAGCAGCGTGATTTATGGTTTGCCGAGTGGATTCTGACTGTATCAATAGGCGTTTCAGGGTGTAATATATTATATACATATATATGTATATCATACACCATACGAGTATATGGGCATAGATATAGATAGAGCACATAATATAATAATATATGAAGGTATCTGTCACAGTGGGAACGTGAGTGGATTGGATACCAACCTAACGTCATAAGTGGGGTCAATTCTGCTGCCACGGGCTCGCCAACTGAGATCAAGGGGTGCATCACCCTCGGCTTCGCAGCGTAAAATTACACTTTCACCCCTTCTCACAGATTCTTGTCTAGTCCTCACTCTCACGGTTGGTCCAGCTATGAATAAAAATAAAAATATTATATGTATATTCAATTACAAGTCGTACATCTATGTAACCTCAACATTTTTACGAGATATTTCTTCAACCCCTTTCCCTTACAGTCTCTATATTGTTTATGAAACGCTATCGTACCCTGACGTCCATGGAGTCTTTTTTATATTCCAGACTTACGCCAGTGCTTTCTAAGTAACTGTTTTCAAGTATTCCCAACTGATCTTTAAAATTTCAAAATACCAGGTTACCATGTGTTCCATGCTATGATAGATGGTTCGATGGATTATAATGGCGGTAGGTACACGTTCGCATAGCAGTTAATAGTCCATTTTTTGTCACGTCAGGAAACTGTGTTGGCTATATGTAAACACAATGCGTATTTCACCTGGTCCACGAACATTCACGATATATATATTTCGCAGTGAGGGGTAAATGGGAAAGTGGCTGAATATTTTACCATGGACTGTTAGCCGAATGAGTTTGCTGAGGCCGGGACCAATGCCATTGCTTGCTTGGCAAAGATAGAAGCCGCCATGTTCCCGGGACACCCGTGGGATCACCAAAGAGCCATTTCCAGCTATTCCAGCACCTTCTGTGCCCCCGTAACCGAGCTCCCTGTAGTCACCAGGAGTCTCACCTTGAACATACCAATGGAACGTCAAAGGAATGTAGGCAGTTGGATAATCCGAATTAATATTTGGCAGTCTTGTGGCATTTTGCTATACATTTTCCCTTTGCACTGTCTGACGGTCTTGACGCATAGTAAGGAGCGATAAAGTATTTTATTATCTGTCTTTGTATGTTTTAAAGGCCCGGGCGATACGATTCAATTTTAAAAATTGCAGGGTGCACATGACTGCTGAAATTATTAAAGGCTCACGCTGCGGATACCTTTGGCAAAACGTGAAAAATGTACCCTGACGCTTGTATGCATATAAATTTATGTATAACGTGAAATGACATTAATGTGACAAAAGCATTTCAAAGCACATTTCTTGCCTTGACGTTCAATTAAAATAAATATGAACGAAGGGCTCGGAACTCATACGGATTCTCTATATTAGAGTTTTATTTGTTTCCTCCCACACGGAAATATATGTATATATTTTGTTTGTATGTGAAATATATCTCAATATATTTGAAATATATGTAGATATATTCTACATCCATCTATATATGTTGTAAACATATAGACATATATTGGAAATACATGCAGAATGTATGGGGAATACATGTAATTTTATATTCTCTAACAACATACATCAGATGTATGTGCAGTATATTATGTATGTATAAATGATTAATATTTTTGATATATGCACAATTGCACAAATACATGCACGAGTGAACCAATTTCTATGATATCCAGTATGTAGTGAATATATTTTATCATATATCAGGCTTATATATTAAATATACGCTATAAGTATTCGACATATACTGCCCAAATGTAAATCAACATATACGTGACCTATCTGTTTGATATATGTGACGTATACGCTTCACATAAGTTAGATATATGCCATATATACATATTTTATACTCATATCCTCGTCTTTTTAAATTGTAGCCTACATATACATATATTTGACGGATCTCAACAAAAGTAATTTTTTCTCAAATTGCCGGTACTTCCACAGCAGCTAATTTATCAATTTTTTGTTTAATGTAAATCATATGATCTAAACGGCGCTCTTTTACCAAAGACACATTATTTTGTTCGTAATAATTTCCAATAGCATAGCACTTCAGATCACCTTTTACTTGTAGAACAATGAATATAAGGATCTCAAATATTTCTCTGTCAATCAGAATTACAAAATTGCTAGACCTTTAAAGTACTTTACAATAATGAGCTGTCTGTATAATTTCCTCATTGATAATAGCTCGTTTATAGTATCGTACACAGGTCAGCTGTTCAACATAGGCGTCGATTCTTTGTAGTGTCAAAAAATGATCTCGAGGCATATCCTGTAGGGCAAATTGCAGAGTACTTTTTTGTTTTGTTTTTTAGATTTTCAAGTGTCTATGAGTTTTTCTTTTGGCTATCTTCAAGTTACATTGTAGTAATTATACTACAAAGAGTGTTGATGGGGAAAAAAAAGATCTTAAAAAAAAGTATTGCCAATAAGACACTTCCAAAGATAAACCTTTAATTTTGCAATCCGCGATTTTCAATCATTAAATGCTGTAAGCTTTTTCAGTTCTATTTGCAAGCCCATAAGATTTTTAATATGTGACTTTAACTATAATTTATAATGTCATTCTATAAATGTTATCAACACTTGTTATAAACGTTCTACAATAATGTTATAAATGTTTCCAATAAAAATGAAAAAAGGTAATTAAATGGTTTTTATTTAGACAGACAAATCGGAGGAAATATTGTACAGAGCAATACCATCGTCCTCGTGAGAAACCCATGACGTTGTCGACTCGTGTAGACGATGCAATTGGGCGAATTACAATTTCCCCTGAATTTATTCTGATTTTCCAGGTTCTGCATATCGTCAAACAGAATATTTTTAATCGCTATTTTACATATATATTATATACATATATAATATATATATAAAATAAATGTAACGTCTATCAAGCGTATATATGCAATATAACTAACGAATATCAAGTATATCTATGCAATATATGTAACGTGTATCAAGTATATGTATATATGCAATAAATGTATCATATATAAAAAATATATATCGTATGTAGGTGTTGTACATTTTACGCACATGTAACATATATTTCAAATTCATTTCAGATATATGTTGTGACGTGGTAGATTTTACCCCGTCAGGTCCTCGGCGGGAACTGTCGTGTTACGCGGGAAAACGCGTATTAGAGAAGAATCCAGGCAAGATACCACCACCTCAAGGGCTAACGAAGTTGCGAATTTGTTGATTTCTGATTTTGTTGTTTGATTTTTGCTATGTGCCATGCCGCGAATATTGTATTCGCGGTCTTACCGAATCTTAAGAAGAAC